ATGATTTTTAGTTCGAATTACTGAGTGGTAACTTTGAATTAATGAGAGGTTCGAAATAACGCAGGTTTGAAATAACAAGAGTCGACTGTATTTGATTTTAACCAATATCTCAATCAACGGATATACCCGTATGACATTTTTTCAATTATTTATAATAATGTTTAACATTTATTTCAATTAAAATCAAACATTGTTTACATTTAATTTACATCAGCGTCATAATTTTAAATATAAAAAAATAAATAGAAAAGGCGAATACAAATTTTATGCCAGGCATTGCTCACTCTTTAGGGACTTTTCCATTTTCTATCCCATTTCCTTATATTGCTCTCTTTCACAAATAAGTTTCCCAAAAAGGAAATGGAAAAATTGAATATATCTGACTAACCAAAAAATAATTATTATCGATTCATTGTATATCTCATAAAATAAATTGAATCATATAAGCTGTTCATTCTCTGTCTCTATCCCCCTCTCTGCCTCTTCGACTTTCACTCTTTCCCTCTATATCAATGTCACTTACATCCTTCCTTCACTTTTGCTAAATTTATCGCTCTCTGTCTTCCTCTCTCTCTCTCTCTCTATCTCTCTGCCTGTCTCTCTCTCTCTCTCTCTCTATTTATATCTCACTCACACCTCTGGCTTCCCTTCTCTCTTTCTACCTTTATCTATTTCTGGTTTCCACTCTCCCTCCCTATCTGTCTCACTCTATAACTCTGTGTCTATCTCTCCTATTCTCCCTATCTCTCTATCTATCTCTCATCTACCCTTTTATCCCTCGTTCCATATCTCTCTCATGTCAAGTCATTCTATATTATGCCTCTCTCTCTCTTTCTCTATAGCTATCTTTGTTTTGATTAATTTTCATTGCAAGTTTTTGTAATTTGCCGACTTAACGTATTACGCAATCATTTTGTGAAATTTGAAAATTCAACTAACTAGCAGATATACCGTAATTTTGATGAGCCGACTTATAGGGGAACTCGTTAGTTCCTAATATGAGTTTTTTTATGATTGGATAGAAGCGCTCTCCACCTATCCCTATCTCTTCCTCTCTCCCTCTGTCTCTCCCTCTCTCTCTCTCGTGCTTCCGATCTGTCGGGCGCATACTCAAGCTGACACTTAGGACCTTTTTATTCTAAATGTTTTATTGTTGGAAATTTTCCAAATTACTTTTTATGAGAATTATGCAAAAACATTGTCGTTGCCATTGTAAATGACACGCATAAAAAGTTGACGACAGGTGTAGCAAATTATGATTATTATTTTAAATACCAAGTCGGGATACCAAACTCCTACTATCTACATACCAACACACATACCCACACACACACACGTGAATACCCCTAGCCAGCCATCAATTTGCTTTTGTGTTTGCTTTTCATGTTCCCCCTCTCGGCGAAAAACTTTCTTATTTATACTGTGGAAATCTGGCATTGAATGGGTTGGAAAAGAGTATGTCTTAGTTTTCAACTTGTTTTATTTAACTTTCTTTTGTCGTGGTCTATTGAGTTCTCCTTACTTTGTAATAACAAAACATGTTTGTTTGCTCACTTTTAGCATGCGCAAGAAAGTAGACAAAGATTATAAAAACATTTTCTATAATCACTGAAAATTTAAATATTTTATTTATTTATTTATTTTTATTTATTTTTCTTTTTTGTATTAACATTAATGCATTAAAAAACATTTTTGGAATCATCAGCTCATACATTTTACATTATAATATATGCCAACCAAATTTTTTCTTTGAAAATATATAATACTTATATTATATTTATTTTGATAATTAATATAAAAAGTTGAACCGCCATAAGATACGAAAAATACGAGGAAAATGCGAATTAAAGAAACAAAAGATAGGCTTTGCTGAGAATGTTTTAAACTCTAAAACACTAAAATTCCATAGAAGTAAACAATAATTAAATAACATTAATTTTACCAAAAAAAAAATAAATAAATAAAAAAATATATATATATATAAACAGTTCCTTCATCTGTTTGTACGGCGTGGTGAGCCATGCAAAACGTGGATTAGATACAGATAATTGCTCGAATAGTATTGAAGTCACAGACATTTACACCCACAGAGATTTTATTAATCAGTATATGGAACATTACGATGATTATTGGGCTGAAGAATAATTTCCCCAAACCAATTTGACCCTCATAATGTTATGTGCACTTCGTATATTGCCAGTTTTTATATGTTTCTAATTTTCAGAAGTGCTATTGAATAAATCAAAATAATTACAGCATACCTAAGCAGTTTCTTGGTGCGGGTTTGTTACAAATGTAAGCAATACAAATGTAAAGCACCAACACAACAAAGAGATATTTCAGCCGTGTGGCGGGCAACCTGTGAGCGAGGCAAACGATAGTGGGACGAAATGCAACACGAACGATCAAAGATGTGGCAGGCCAGGCTCAGACCTACTCTGGGAGAATCTGAAGCGTGTTTTACGTGGGAAGAAATGCCTATATGTAAATTGTTGTTTTTCCGCCCAAATGGATGAAAGTTTTATTTAAATTGAAAGATAAAAACCGCGTGTGTGTGCTTTTAAAGCAATGGCTTATATGGTACCTGTCACATAGACATGGTACACACTTTTATGGCTAGATATCTCATTGCTACAGATGATATTTTCAAGATAAATAAAAATATCTTCAATTCATTACTGTAGTATCTAATTAATTTCATTAATTTATGAATTTATTGGGATTCATATTTTGATTATTTTACTATTTCAATTTATTTATTATTATATGTACTTAAAAAATAATTTGAATTTCCGTTTTTCTTAAAAGCTTCGTGTTGTAATTATTTATATTATTCGCTTTAATTAACTAATTTCATTTTCATTCACCTTAATTTTTTTAAATTTTTTATTTTACTTTTAAAATATAATATACATAAAATAAATATCAAATAAATTATATTAATTAAAATAAAATATTATGACAACAAATTTCCATTCATATAATTAGTATTTAAAATTAATATTTAATTCATTAATTGTTATTCATATATTAATTATACTCATATTTTAATTTTTTTATTATTATTAATATTTTAATGTTTAACAGTCGCTTCGTCATAAATATTTAATTATTTTTTATTATATTCAGATATTAAATACTTGAATACTTTAATTTAATCAGTATTAATTTTCAGTATTTAATATAACTACGTAACATAAACACATTTCCCCTGCACAGATGTCTGCTGTAATTTGCAGCACATAATTTTAATTAATTGTGCTCAACATATTTTTCAACAACTTCTCACGTTCAATTTACTCGATGCGAGTCATTAAATTTTACATCTAATAGCTGCGACTTTTTTTCTTTTGCACTGACTTTGCCGCCCGCATAAAAGTCAAAAGTTTCACAACAACAACAACAACAACAATGCACATAAGGTGTAAAATTGTGTATTCTCCTACGGCTTACATGACGTATGCGCAATTTATGTCGAGCTGAAGCATAAAGCAGAATAGAAGGCAGCAGCTGCGTGGGTCGCCTAAGTGGTTTAAAAATATCTAAAAACTTTTGCCCGCAAATGTGATGAATGTCTTTTGCACCAATCACACCCGATATGCCCGATATCATGTGTAACATATATATATATATATATATATATATATATATATATATATATATATATATATATATATATATATATATATATATATATAGGTAAGCCGACGACGAAGTTCAATTTTATCCCAGACAGAAGATCAAAAACTTGTCTAAAAATAAACGTATTAAGCAATTGCTGTTTTTATACCCGCCCACAGAGTCCAAATGGGCATATTAGTTCTGTACAATGTAATTTTTTCTGCCATTCCGCTTGAATATAGGGATATATTACATACTTTATATACTATATAAATAGTTAATGATAACCCCAGATTGATAAATATAATACATATGTATATCATAAGCTTAAACATTCTTAGAGCTAAGAAAAAATGAATATTTCACAGATGATTTTCTTTAAATTTTCTTTCTTTGGGATTCGCCCATTAAAACTGTTGTTGGCACTTCAGTAGATATTATGTCAGTCGATTACACCCGAATGCGTAGTTCTTGATTGTTAAGCTTTTTTTTTTTTTTTTTACACCCTGCACATTTGATTACAGGGTATATTTGTTTAATCCAAATGATTGTAATAAGCAGAAGGAGGTGTGCCTGGTGCCATATATTATATATGAAATTAATATATAGCTATATTCGTTTTAGCTGTATTCGTTTTCCATCTGCACGAATTCGCACGACAAGAACTATAGACTTGAAATTTTAAATATATCTTATTGATCAGACATTGATAGAGAGCTAGAACGGTTCTTCCGTATATTGTTTATTTAATATTTTCTAATTTCAAATAAAAATGACAAATATAATATACTATTTTTTAAATTTCTTTTAGCAATAATTACAAATACATATAGTATTCAATTTCCATTAGGAAAAAACAAAAACTATTTGAATTGATGTCGGTTAAAAGCTTTCCAACATCGAGCTTCGGCAAACGGTCATACTTTTTCTACCTAACGAGCTGCCATTTAAATATATCTTATGCCAGAAATATCATATAATTAATCAAAAAGAAATTCGAATTCGAATTTCTTGATGTAAAATATAACTTAATTATTCGCAAATAATACAAAAAATTCTTATATATGCGTACATTTAAATATGCCGCCAGAATATTTGATTTGTCAGCGTTGCCACATTTCATTTTATATTTCATCGCCAGGCAAAATAGTTTATTAACATTATTTGTGACGTTTCATAGCATACCTTTAATTATAACATTTAATTTAAAACTTCAACTTTAGCATAGCTAATTAAATTTCAATAATGTACACAATATTTTTAGATATTCCAGGGCTACGTTAAATATTTACGCATTTAGTATATTCCGACGCGTTTTTGGTATTTTCAGTTCGGTTTCTTGTTTCTTACATGACGTCGGCTTAGAGTTGCCACTGCGATTCAGTTTGCTAGAGACATCCGTGGTGTGAACATACGTATGTGTGTGGTAGTTAGCAACAATTGAGTTTTGTTCTAACACTTGGCAACTCAAAATACATATGTATATGCATACATACATAGCAAAGTATGTACATATCAGCAACAACAGTATCGTGCGAATGTAAAGAGTGTACGAACATTAAAACGCAACATGAAAGCAGAATTAAAGTGAAAAATGTAGCAACAAGAAAATATAATATCGCGGTGGTGCCTGTATGAGTATGTGTGTGAATTTACTCTCCTAGTGAGCAAAAACAGCTAGCGACAAGTTATTTAATGCAGTGGGTAATTGCAGAATATTGAATTAATAAGTAATTTAAATAATAACAACAACAATAAGAAAATCGAATCGAAGCAGCAAAAACGAAATGCGCGTGTAAGAGAGCGAGAGAGAAAAAAATTAAAGCAACCGTAAACACACGCACACACATCTACGTTTCACACACACGTGCCGCTGCCAGTGTCGACGCGCCGTCTGTTTAATGGCTAGAGTGAAGAGTCTATCTCCCACTCACTATGTGCGTGAATGTGTGCGTGCGAGTGTGAGTGTTGGGTTTGGAGGAGAGTACCGCTTGCCGCTTGGCGTATAAACGAATAAGAGTAATAACATTTAATTCTGATATAAATTGCATGTTAAATGTTTGTGCCTCGTTTTGGGAGCATTTTGTGAGCGCTGCTGAGTTGGCAACACGGTTAGCGAGCGCAAACACAAACAGACACACACACACACGCGCACACAAACAAATACTGTCACATGTAGCTGCTGCGTGTCGTGGTCGTTCCTCTCTCTCACTTGCTCACTCGCTCGTTATTTCGCCTGGTTGGCTCGTTCGTTCGTTCGCTCACTTCAATTTTCCTCAATGAATGAAAATTTTTCACGGTAAAGTGGTCGTCGCTGCGTCAGTCGCAGTCGTGTTGTTTTGCTGTTTACGCGAGCAGCGCGGCGCAGTCAAACAAATAAAAATAAAAGATACAAATATCATTAATGTGCTGAACCTCTCCATCCAGTTTTAAATTATAAATAAACACACTGTCACGCCTAGTACATACGTTTATTTATTATAACTGTACAACTGTGTGTTCGTGCAGATTTGCAGTGGCAGCGGGAGCACCTGAAGCAAAGTTAAATAATTTCTAAATATTTATAGAAAACACAAAAAAAAAAATGATTCTCTATCATTTTGCATAACAAAAACCACAACGTTCGCAGCCCCTGGGCAGAATTAATAACAAGAGTGAAAAAGAATCTAAAAAAAAAAAAAAAAGGAAAACGAAAACCACACACACAAATAAAGACTAACATAAGTGTACGCAGCCAGCAGAAGCAGCAGCAGACGGACGCCTACGTCAATAAGCCAAACGGTAAGCGAAATGCTCAGTCAAAATTGTCTCTCTTGCCAGCTCTCTCTCTGTGTTATTCTCTCTTAATGGTCGGGCTTGTATTGTATATTTGCCAATTGGAAAATTTCTTCATTCTTTGTTTTTCCACACGCGAAAATATTCTCACACACACACATAAGCATAGGAACTTGCACTTGCTATTACGACAGGCAGCGGCAGCGACGTCGACAGTGTTCGCTTCATTCATTTCTACGTTGCGACACACACACAAACACGCATAGGCAGGCGTAAATAGTGATACTCTCGCACTCTCTCACGCTCGTCTGCTCACTCATGCTGGATAAAATAGAGTGACCATAGTGCATCTGCTTTGTGTTGTAGCTGGTCAGGCCATAGAGAGAGAGAGAGAGAGAGTGTGACCGAAAAAATAGCGATTTTGGTGTTCTAACTAATCTATTGTCATTATTATTGTTGTTGCTGTTGTCTGTGTTTTATTAACATACAAATTATAGTAACAATACTAATTTTTGTCCATTTGTTGTTATCTCCCATTATTATTTTTTCGTTTTACAATTTTCGCATAATATTGTGGTGAAAACAAAAGCCGCAACAGCTTGTCAGCTTTAAAGCAAATACAAAAAAAAAAAAAAAAAAAAAAAAAAAAAAAACAAATAGATAAAAACGTAAAAATTCTGGGAAACAATGCACAGATTATCTACATACATACGTATATTTAACGAAGAACGGTGACTATTCGATTAACTATTAAAAGCAGCTACCGAACTTAAAGTCAGTTATTTTAATTCTTCTTGCTTACACAGATGTGTATATTTCTATATATTTGCATGTGAAACAACAGTGACAATTCATTAGAATAAATTTCAAATTAGCAAAACAAAGCATAAAAGCGCAATTGGAGGCCAATGCAAATAGATTTCCTGCCAGTGTGGGTTCATCATTGTTCATCAGCCTACGCACCACTGTGCAACTCACTCAATCGTTTTGTGTGCAAGTGTGTGTGTGTGTGTGCAAGTGCTTGTATAATTAGCACTCACACACTCACACACACACACACACACACACACACACACACACACACACACACACACACACACACACACACAACTGCATCAATTCTGTGTATCGTTTCTCTCTGTCTCTCACTCTGTCTTCCTTCTAATTTACATTTGATTGTGCGTGAGTGATAATTAGCAGTAAATTATCAAATGCACTTAGCAACAGCAACAACAATGACAGTAATCCAGTGGCAAATAACAGCATATATGTACATCAGGCTACGGCAAGCGAGCAACGCGTGCTCAATTGACATTTATTATTTGAGTTTTTGTTCTCACTCGCTCTTTATCCAATTGGGTTTTTGTTGCTGCTGTAATTATTTTGATTGACTCTTCTGTGAGCTTATACGAATGCCTTTCAGTGTATGTGTGTGTTTGATTGCTGCTTCTGTTTGGCAATGCAAAAATAAAAAATAAAAATACATGAAAATTAAACTGCAACAAAAAATTATTGCAACAATTCGTATTTTGTTGTTGCCACACTGCAATCGTTTGTAATTAGAGAACATTCGAAGTGGTCGAGTTTCTAGGAATTTTAATGAATCTCGCAACAAAAAAGAAACCGTTTGTTTCATATAAACACAATTGGCATATGCACACTCACACACTCACAGACATTGATAAAATTTAAAACAATCGCCAGACACGACTGCGACACTCGGCGCAATCGCCGATGTCGTCGTTGCATAAAAAAAAGTTATTAAAAAAAAATAATAATAATAATCAAGAACGATTCGATTGAGAGCGCACGCTTGAAAGTACCCTATACAATTTTCGTGCATCTTGTATATATTAAAGTATTTTACTTAAACATTCTTTTCTTCTATTAACTTAACGTGATTGAAAAAATAAAGAGATTATTATACGGCGCACGTTTTGATATTTTTTATTATTATTTTTTTTTTATTATTTTTATTTTTTTCGAGCCTTTTATGGCAGGACAAGTGCTGAGCTTATGGTCTATGGTCTCTTGCAAGTTTCTCAGCTACACTTAAACAAATTAGAGCTCACATTGCTAAATCAAATAAATGAACAATTGTAGGAAATCAAAACGATATATGATATTTGACATTTATACATTAATATTTTAAATTAATTATTATTATCAATTAATTAATTAATTTATTTTATTTTATTTTTTATTTTTTTTTTCCTTGAGTCTCAAATTAATGAATTAAAAAGCAATTAAAAATTTCAACATTGTCAGCTTCTTTTCCGTATTTTAGGTACGCCTTTAAGTGTTACACCTCCAGTTATTTAAATTATGTCAATATATATATAAACAGATTTATGATATGTTTAATCTGGTTAAAGCCTTGGAGCTGTCGACTTAGACCTACAAAAACATATATTTATTCAATGCGTCTCGTATAATCCTCGACAACAGATTATTATTTACATTGCCAACACAAGATCATTAAAGCAAATATATACATATGTACACATCTATATGCATATATACATGCATATATATGTATATATATGTTATGCCTAACTTCAATATCAATCTATCACAGATGAGAAAAAACTCGAAATTGCCTAAATCCCAAGCAAAACAAGATCACGCAGGCCCCAGACGGACAGACAGAGAAGAAAAATAAAACAGAAATATAAACACAAAATGAAAAGAAAAGCATTTGTAATGGTCTTTTGGTATATGTGTATGTGTATGATGAGCTTTGTTGTTCAGACTCTAAAGAAAAAAAAAAAAAGAAAAAAGAAAAACTTCATGCTCGAGTCCAAATGCCCATGGCATCATATGAACAGGCACAGCAAGAAGAAGACGAAGCAGCGAACCGACAGCAAAAGGCAGACAGTAGTAAATCAACTAAATGATGCATTCTTTAAGAGGCATAGCGAAAGGGTATATGCGATCTGTAGAAAATGAATTTTATAAAATAAGAGTTAAACATACAGCTGAATTGCTGAACATTTTCTGCTCTAATATTAAGGTATCTATTATGATATAAAATATATTTTATAGTTCCAGCTGGAATATTAACAAGTTCCGTTTGTTTTTATATTAGTTATTAAAAATATATAATAGTTGCTTGGGAAAGGGTATTTAAGAGTGCGCCGTCACCGCTATAGCACGTTGATTTGAGTATCATTTGTAATGTCTATGGCTGGAGGGCAGCAGCAAATGATCTCTTGGCACATTGGGCCCTCAAGTCTCTGCGCGGATCTCATCCACAATCAGCAGCCAGCGTTAGCTCCATCGTAAGCTGCGGATAGCAACATCAGCAACGGGGAGACTACGGCAAAACCAGCAGCAGTAAAAAAAAATATATATATATAAATAAAAAACAAATAAAGAAAAAGTAGAAAAAAAAAAAACAGTCTCGATAAGCAGCGACGCATCGCGTAGCGTATACGCAGCGTTGTGAGCCTCTGCCTCTGGGCATTTCGATGTATGTATGTGTAGGTGTATGCATGTATGTATGCCAGAGTGTGTTTGTACGCCATTGTGTTTGCCGCTGTTGTTGTTTTTGTTGTTGTTGCTGTTGGTTTACTACATACTATAGTATAGTATGTACTATGTACGTTTAACACCAGTAGCTGTCTGACAGCTTGGCTGCCGACAACGCCATGCGTTGTTGTTGTTGTTGATGATTTTTTTACTTTGTTTTTTTATTTGTTTTATGCTGGTTTTTGTTCGATTTTTTGCCTCTTTTTGTTTTTTTGTGTGTTATTTTTTCTTTCTTTTTTGAAGTTCAAGAATATGAAAAGCAAAACGCGTAAAATCAACTAAACGAAAAAAAAAGGTAGCCGACTGCCTATATGATGTTGCCAACGCATGCTCTCTGTGTACTTTAGTGCTTATATATACGCGCACACACACGTGCCCATATGTGTGTGTGTGTGTGTGTGTGTGTAACGCTGGCGGCGATTACATATGAGCGTGTATAACTCGTAAGCGCTGTCGCTGTCGCCGTCGCCTTCGCTGCCTCTCGCACTTCTGTTTCTTGGTGCTTTTCTTCTTCGTTTCATCTTCTTGTTGGCTTTTGGTCATTTTGTTTGGATCTGTGCGCTGCACACAAACACAAATACACACGTTCGTGTTTGTATAAGTTTGAACCGGTTTCACATTGCGTTAGTTGCCGTTTTCCGTAGCTCCTGACATTCTTGTTGTTGTTTTGTAGTACGTGTAACTTGTCGATACGTTTATTTGTTGCTGTTGTTGTTGTCATTGTTGCTCGTTTGGCCGCCGCAGCATTCTACAAATACTACAGCAACCAGTTGTATTACAACTTCTTATACCACATTTCGACCATTGGAGTCTGTAAATAATGTGTTTCTTTTTCTCCACAAAAATCTTGATGTGTCTCCAATGTGTGTGTATGTGTGTGTAAATATATATATGTTTCAAGCAAAGCAATATATTAGAATGAGAATGTTAACAAAATAGTAGCTTCCAAAATATGATATATGTTATATGTTAAAAATAAACTATTTTAAAGAATTTACTTTAAATAAACATAAAAGACATGGCTTTTTTTTTACTTTTAGATATATCAAAATATATCAGAACTTGATGTTTTTTCCCTTTTTCAATTAATTCTAGTTGATTCTTAAATTGCAATGAAATAATAATAATTTCACAATATCAGAAAACCTCAACAAATTATGCAGAGAGAGAACGGGTTGAGATACATCAGCATCAGTCATAGTTCTCTCTTATCAACACTTTTAGTTTTATAAATGCTTAAGCAATATTGTTTCAGAACTTTACAGAAATGAATCAACATTCAACCTCCATAGTTGTTGTACTTCTGATTCAAGTTTACGTTTGGAGCCACGGTAATTCCATTCATTGCCCTCGTGGTACTTAATGCATGTAATTCCTTGAATAAATATTTTGAATTACAACTTGGATTAGAGTTTAATGAAACTATTTATGCCACATTTAAAAGTGAAACCAGGAATATAGTCAAAGCCTGGTTT